TAGTTTTGAAATATAAAATTTTTATCACATATACTAATATACTTATGTATATAAATGAAAGGATAAAAGATAAATTCAAATAGTCTTATGTTCAATTTGAATACAATTTGGTAAAAATTGAGTAAAATTGGGTGAAATTAAGTGAATTTTATTCAATTGAGTGCAAAATTTGTAAATTATTGAGTATATTTGGTTGAAAATAGAGAAAATTAAATTTAATAGAGTCAAGTATAATTAATTTTACACCTAAATGTAATGGTTTGAAACTAATCAAGTTAACTCTCAAATCAATAAAATTTATTGTAATAAGATGAAATTAGGATAAAATCTAGTTATTCCATACAATTCATCATATATTCCTTTTGTCCCAAAAAGAATATCACACTTCATTATTTAAAAATTACGGAAATTTTATTTGTTTGTGCGTTATCATTTATATGTATAACGTATCTTTAATTTCTACATATAATAAATTTAAGGCATAAAATTTTGTACTTTTTTTGAAAAAGATAATCCATTTCATGAGGGAATGAGCAAGTAATGTAATTAGTTCAAATGGTAAAATAAAAGAAAAAATTTAAAAATATAATATGCTTATTGAAAGGCAAACATAGTTCTGAATTTATCAATTTTAGTTCTAATCGGGTTCGGATATTATCGGTTTCAGATTTAATCGGTTTCGGATTTTATCGGTTTCGGGTATTATCGAGTTCGGATCTAATCGGTTTCGGGTTTAATCGGTTCGGATATTATCGGTTTCGGATCTAATCGGTTTCGGATTTAAATCGGATATGAATTATTTAGTTCGGTTTCGGTTCGATTCGAATCATTTCGGGTTTTCGGTTATAGATCGAATCTTCATTTTTCGGGTCATTTCGGTTTTAGTTTCGGATATTTCGGTTCGGATAATCGGCTCCAGTTCTGTTTTGCCAGGTCTACCCATAAACAATAAAATCATACAATTGAAACTATTATATACACTAACCGTTTTATTCATTATCTAAGAAAACTTCTCTTTTAGAAATTGTGCTTAAATTTTATTCAAGGGGCCTTTAAATTTTATCTATGAAAACTTATCTAAGAAAACTTCTCTTTTAGAAATTGTGCTTAAATTTTAAGAAAACTTCTCTTTAGCACCGGTTGTTTTGGGCCTTTTGCATCGGTTTTTAAGCGATGCAAATGCCAGCGATGCAATTGCTCTAGAGCAATTGCATCGGTTGTAAAAAAACCGATGCAAAAGGTCTCATTCGCTGATTCGCACATCCAAAGGGAAGGGCTTTAGCATTGGTTTTTTCGAAACAACCGGTGCCAAAGCCTTTTTTTTAAAAACAATGGGCTTTGGCATCGGTTGTTTAGAAACAACCGATGCCAAAGCCTATTTTTTTAAAAAAAAAATAGGGTTTTGGCATCGATTTTTTCGAAACAACCGGTGCCAAAGCCTTTTTTTTAATAAAAAAATAGAACTTTGGCATTGGTTGTTTCTAAACAACAGATGCCAAAGCCCTATTTAAAAAAAGCATTTTGATGTATTAATTCTTCTAAAATACAAAGTAATAATTTCCCAATGCTAATTTATTAAAACAATTATTCTCATTTATTTTCTCTCTATCTCTCTCTCTCTCTCTCTCTAATGGAAACAGAGGCTTTTCATCCAACTTTCCAGGTTCTTGCTTGTTGTTGACTTCTTCATCTCCGTCTTGAGATTGGGATCCGGGAAGACCAAACCTCAGTTCTGTAGCTTTAAGATTCAATCTTTCTTCTCTTTCTGCTGAAGAAGAAGCCATTATAGAAATCAAACCAAATTAAAAGGCTAAAGGCCTGAAATTCTGTAGTACATAGTTTTATAACTGAAAGCCTGAATTTATAAAAATAAATTACACTTTTACCTTCATCTTCTAGATTTTATTTCCTCTAATGTATTAAAAAGCTTTCTTTTAAATATCTTTTAAAGTACTTCAACTATTCCAGCAACATACAAGAAATTGAACACATTTAGTCATTCAATCATTTCAACCAAATTTTATCCTTGCAAACCTCACCAAATGGGCCTTAATAGGCATTTCAAACTACGGAGCATTAAATTGGAGGCAGCAATACCAATACCAATGCCAAGCAGATGAATAAAACATTTCAAGCAATGGGAAGGGACTCAATTGAGATTCAGTTACTACTAGCATAATTTCTTAGCATCTTAATATATGTTTTAAAGTCACAGTTGTTAACATGAAAATATGAAACCAATCAAACAGTATGTTGCTAAAAATATATATAGCCGAGGGTTCTAAATGTTGAGATCATAAAACAAACCTTGAGAACAGATCCGATACCGAAGCACAAGAGGCCGCCTTCACAAGGTGAGAATCTGCTGGAGACTACTTCATACATATACAAATAAACCCTGTGAGATTTTAAATGGCATCCGGAATTCACTATTCATATACTCTTCACCAATTGCAACAAAACATGCAGCATACAAAGGAAACAAAATACCATGAATTTCAGCCCAAATTATCCACCAGCAAGGTGTCTGCAACAGCAACTGGAACCTAGCTCCAAAACCAGCCCCACACTGCCCAAATCACAAACAACAAGCTCCAAACAGCAAGCCCAAACAAGTGACTGCACAAAGAGAACAATAACACAGTAAAACACAACTTCCAGCCCACAAATGTCACTGTCCAGCAGGAAACCATTGTCCAATTCAACATGACCTTGCCCACAACACACACTACAGCAAGAAACGTCCACAAGCTCACCAAAAAGATACCAAGTATGTCCATGGATAGCATGCCTTAGAATCTGCTCCATTAAACAATGGCCACTCCCTCAACCACAAATCAACCCATGTTGGCTCTTCCATAACCATTAGGGGGGTAGGGGGCAAGCTGACCATTGTGCTAGGTGCATCAGCATAGGCAGCTTAGTTCAATGGACATCAACACAAAAAACACGCATACACAACCACCAAAAAACAGTAAGACGGCCATCCATTCAAAGCAAGAACAACACTTCATTCCACAAGTTAAGTAACTAAACACAACTCAAATGAGGCCTTCTTGAAGATGAACAACCTCTCAAATACTAGCCAAGAATCAACAGAAGTTCGTCAAAAAAGAAGCAAAAGCTTCACACATACGCAGTACAAATTCTCATTGAGAACAGTACATACGAGACCCAAAAAAACCCCAAATCGAGAAGAAATTCAAATGAAATTGAAATCCAGATTCATAAGGAGGAAGAGGATATCAAACCGTTCCAAACACCAGAAGATTAGCCTGCAAAATTGTCCGGGGATCGCAGCACCTGCCTGGGATGGCGACGACGTCGTTGGCGAGCACGGGGATGGCGACGATCTAAAGAAGACGGCGCACGATGACGGTGAACCAACGGATGAGTGCTAGGGTTAAGTCTCAGACAAAAAGAGGGATATAAACTCTAGATAAAATCAGCATAGGTGGAGGAAGAAGAACCGATGCGTTAGCTTTATTTTTATGTATTAAAAAAATTTAAAAAAGGAGTATTAACATCGGTTATTTAGAATAACTGATGTCATTAATCAATTGCATCGGTTGTTCTAAAGAACCGATGCTAATGCCCATTTTAATTTTTTTGATTTTTTAAAATAAGTATCAATTGCATCGCTTTTTTAAAATAACCGGTGCTTTTGATCTTTAGCATCGGTTGTTTCAATAACCGATGCAATTGAGCCAGTCCATTTGCTTGTTTTTGTAGTAGTGCTAATAGCACGGATGCTCCGTGGATGGAAACGGAACACCAAAATCTCCTCTATTTTAAAAACTTATTTGTAAAATCCTCATAGTTTTTAAATGGTACACACACGCCCCCTAACCTAACTTCAAACTTAAAATGACACTTATACCCTTATTTCTCTCTATCATGAAGTTTTTACTCTTTTATTTTTTTTACTTTTAATTTCCTTGTTTATACACATAAAAAAAATAACATATACACTATCCATCCTCAAATTAAAATTTTTTCATTTATTTATTTTTTAGAACAAAAGAATCTTTTTGGGAAACATTACAAAAAATAAAAATGAATAAAATACTCTGTACGAAATAAAACAAAAAAGGATTAAAAAAAGGTAATGAAAAAGATTGAAAAAAATAAAACATAAGGAGTACCTTTTTTACTCCTTATATTATTTCATCTTTCTATTCTTCATTTTTCTAAATCCCAAAAAAGTTTTTTTAATTTTTGAAAATGAATAATTAAGTAAAAACTTTTTATTTGAGACGGAGTGAGATTATTATTTTTATTTATTTCAATTTTACTTGAAATAAAAATGGTAGTTTTTTTCTTTTTCTTTCATTATCTTGTTCTATTCGTTTTTCTTTTACTCTAAACATAGTATTTTATTTCATTTTTCTATTTTTCATTATCTGTTGTAACATTCTCCAAAAATATTACTCCCTCCGTTTGGGAAAACCCTTCCCACTTTGAAAATAAGGCAAATTAAGGAAGTGTAAAATTATAGTTGACTTCCAATTTTGCCCCTGATGTGATGGGTAAAAGTAAGATGTGATGGTTGATTATTAGAGAAAAAGTATGATGTGATAGGTAGGGTATAAAAAAGTAAGGGTAAAAATGGTTTTTTAATAGAAAGCGAAAGTGTTTTGTTGGAAGTGAAAAAAATGAAAGAGGAAGTGTTTTTGAGAACGGAGGGAGTATTCAGTTTTGAAAAATAAAATCATTTTTTGCATAAACAAGAAAAATCAAAATTAAAATAAAAGAGTGAAACTTCATGATAGGCCGATGCACAAAAGGAAGGGCATAAATGTTATTTTAAGTTTGAAACCGTTTTAAAATTATTTAAAAAACATTAAAGTTTTATAAATAATTTTAAAAAATAGAGGATGGTGCTTCTTCTTCACGTACCATCAGCCCTTTATTCAAGTTAAACCCATACCGGAGTAATTTTTTACGTGCACATGAAAAGACCCATATATGCACAAAATTATTAAAATCGAATGTGGAATTGTGTGTGTGCAACTTTGTTTGCTAACTTTCCTCTCCTTCCTCCCTTTTCTCTGCTATAAAGCTAAGGTGGTAGGAATGCTCTTAGCCCTCATTTCAGTCCAAGTTCATCCATTTCTTTTGATCAATTCCTTTTTGGATTGGTTCCCTAAAAAATAACTCCATCTATACACACACAAATAAATGAAGATCCGATCAACTCAGTGATCAAATACTTAGAAAGTAAATTAAGGAAAGAATTTTTCATTTTTTTGGGTAATTTTATAAATATTAAAACATAATGGAGTGGAAAAAGGGTTACTTGGATGTGATTTTGGTGCCCATTGGGTGTTTAATATGCATAGGGTATCATGTTTGGTTGTGGCATAAGGTCCGGACACAGCCGCTCACAACCATCATCGGAACCAACGCCGTCGGCCGCCGTTTGTGGGTCTCCGCCATCATGAAGGTAATTTTTATTTGCTTCTTCTTCTAGTCCTATTTTTTTCAAAATTTCAAATTTTGATTTTGGGTTAGTCTCAAAATAACTTTTAACCATATCATTTTCGCTTTTTAACGCTATTATTTTTATATTTATTTGAAGCCAATTTAATTTAATTTATTTTGGGACGGAAGGAGAGCATAATAAGTTACACCAATAGTATTAGTAATGCCTGCTCTCTTTCTATGATGTTTTAACTTGGGTAAGGAAGGCACCTCCATTAATTAAGTACCCAAAACACCTAATAAATTTAGCTAATATATTGAATTCTTATTACATAAGAGAAGATCACTCTTTAACTACAAAGTTTTAAATTAAAGAAAAATTAAGTTTGAATTTGCAAATTACATGGGGAAGGGGGTAGATTTGTAGTTGAGTTAGTTTTGAATTAGAAGAATCTGGTTCAAATTCAAATCTAAATTCTTTGAGGTCCCAAACAAGTAATTTGGATCAAATCTGGGTTTGAAATCCAAATTCAAGTTTTCAAACACACCCTAATAGAGTTTATTTTACCACATCAGAACGACTCAAACTATTCATAAAAAAAGGTGAATTTTTTTTCCGAGACGGGATTATATATCAAATGCTAACATAGTCTCGCTGATTTTAATTTGTTCATGTTATAACTTTTTATCTATATCAGCATTTTTGTTTTTGTTATACAGGGCATATCATATTTTATCTGTCTCATATACTTTGTTCGCCCCACAAAGTTCTTTATATTTTCTATTTGTGAATGTCTAATTTCAAAAAATACTTTATACTTTATTTTTATTTTAATAATGAATAAGTGGCTACCCACATTTTCTCTCCACCAATCAAATTCTCACCGCACAAATTTTACTCTTCAATAGCTTTTTTTAAATTTTGTAATTAAATTCAAAGTGTCAATGATTTTTTGAGACAAAGGGAGTACTTTTTTTCATTCACATATACGTCAATATCAACAACAGAATACGAAAGTATTGGATAATTGGATGTTATATAAAGATTTAGTTATTCAAATTAAACCTAAGATGACCCTATTGAAATGATCTTTTATTAGTTCATTTTAGTTATCCTTAATTTTGTAAGGATTGCAAAACCTAGGCGTTTGCCCGCTCTATACTTTTTTCACTATAGATGGCCGGCAGGGCACGGGAGAGTATTCGAATGGATTAGCAGCATCCCAATAGATTAGGAGGGGAGTACCAAACCAAATAAACTACCAAATATTCTACTCCTTATTTCAATTGGATCGCTTGACGTATCCATTATTCCACGCATCATGAACCATGACGTAATTAGTTGTTTCTATACTTCTAAAATACTCGGCATTAAATTAGGAAAATCTAGTTCACCAATTACATAAAAATAGGAATGCGTACTTTACTACTTTAATGAAAGAGTAAATTCCCAAAATAGTCCTTTGTAATAAGGGGTTTTTCCAAATTAATCCTCAATAAGTTTTAATTACCTACGTGGTCCTCTATAATTGAGATTTATTCCCAAAATAGTCCTTTTTAATAAGGTGTTTTTCCAAATTAGTCCTCAATAAGTTTTAATTACCTATGTGATCCTCTATAATTGAGATTTATTCCCAAGATGGTCCTTCGTAAATAATGTTACTAAAATAAGGATTAATTGAAGGTATTTTTTCTCTGCTAAATTTAGAATCAATTCTTAAATAATCATTAATAATGAAGTGCTTTCTCAAAATGGTTTTTCTAATTAAAGATGTGTATTTGATTTGAAATTTAAAAGATTTTTTAAAGTTTTATAAATGTATTTGGTTTATCTCTATGTAATAAGGTATTTTCCCAAATCAGTCCTCAAATGAGGATTAATTGGGAGATATTTTGGTATTTTGATCACCCAAATGTAAAGTATATTCTCATAACAATTATTTCTGTACAACTAAGTGTAAAATTTAAAACAATACATTGACTATAAATAATTTATGAATTATTTAAAAACTTAAAAAAATCTTTTAAATTTCAAATCAAATACACATCTTTAATTAGAAAAACCATTTTGGGAAAGCACTTCATTATAAATGATTATTTTAAGAATTAATTCTAAATTTAGCAGATAAAAAATACCCTCAATTAATCCTCATTTGAGTAATATTATTTACGAAGGACCATCTTGGGAATAAATCTCAATTACAAAGGACTACGTAGATAATTAAAACTTATTGAGGACTGATTTGGGAAAACACCTTATTACAAAGGACTATTTTGGGAATAAATCTCAATTATAGAGGACCACATAGGTAATTAAAACTTATTAAGGACTAATTTGAGAAAACTCCTTATTACAAAGGACTATTTTGGGAATTTACTCTTAATGAAATGACCATATATATTTCCATAATACTATAATACTAAGGTTTACCTTTGAAATGTAGATTTACTCACACTTTTTATGGACAGACATGAATTTTTTTTTTATTTTTTTCAAAAAGCTCAATCCATTCATAGTATTCATATAAAAAGATCCATAAAATGAATTTGAACCTTAAGAATACAGAAGAATTTTAATTTCCTAATGAAACAAAATATTACTCCGTATATTTGAAATCTTTTTTTGAAAATAAACTAGATGAAATAATTTTTATACTAATGCATAATGTAATTTTTATTTAATGTATAGTCAAAATTGATTGACTATGTAATTTTTATTTAATGTATAGTCAAAAAACAATGTAATTTTTTTGAAAATAAACTAGATGAAATAATTTTTATACTAATGTATAGTCATAATGTAATTTTTATTTAATGTATAGTCAAAATTTTTATCTAATGCATAATGTAATTTTTATTTAATGTATAGTCAAAATTTTTATACTAAATAAACTGGAATTATTTAGTGACTGTTTCATTTGTCTCAAAATAAACTTCTTATTTTCCTTTTTGTTGTCTCAAAGTAACTTTTTCTTTCCTTTTAATAAATGAATTGAGTATATAATTAACTTCTATCTCCTTGGTATAAATCTCTACCACAAAATTTTATTTTTTTAAAATTTTGTAAAAAACATATTAGAAGTTTAATTTGGGAAAGAAGGGATATATACTCTCTCGTCCGAGTGTATTTGTACAGTTTGACCTTTTGGAGTCGATTGAATAAACTTTAAGTTTCAATTAAATAAAACCATAATGTATATTTATATAGAAACGATTTTATTAGATTTATCTTGTTGAGAAATTTTAAAATTTTATTTTATTATATTAATATGCAAAACCAATTAAGAATAATTGAAGCTTAAAATTTATCTAGTTTGACTTGAAAAAGTCAAAATGAATAAATATACTCCTTCCGTCCGGAAATGTTCTTCCCGTGTTGACTTGGCACGCTTATTAAGGAATAGTAAAAAAATGCAAAATTTTCAAAAATGCACATACTATAAACTTTTAAATCTCCTTTTATTATTAAAAAAATACTAAAAAAGTAGATTTGTGATAAAATAGAAGGGTATTATTGATATTTAGCCTTAAAAAGTATACTAAAAAAAGAAATGGGAAGAATATTTCCGGACGGGCCAAAAAAAAAATGGGAAGAATATTTCCGGACGGAGAGAGTATCGGAAAAGAGGTAATATTAATGGTCAAATTGTTATTAACAACCCGACAAAATGTTGGATTATTCAATAATTATATTTAGATCACCATTTTAAATACGGAGGACAACATTATATTGTTTATTTAATGAACACTAATTCAATATTAAAGACCACATTGTTATTGATCTGTGCTTTCGTGTACTAAGATCTACATGAGAAATGTGCACTTTCTCACGCTTTTGACGAGCTTATAAGTACATATTTTCTTTTTTGGCCTTGTCCGAGAAGAGTGTTTTCAATTAGCGTTAGCATTTTAGATAAAATATTAATGGTGTAGATTAATTCGAGAAAACGCTAACGCTAAAGTTATCGTCAGATAGTCTTCTCAAAACGCTAACGCTAATCTCTAATGCTGATGTCAAAGTGGCCAAAGTAAAAAGCTCAATTCGTACATAATATTTATATTATAAGATCCATAAAATGGGTATGACCGGACCCAAATTTCTTAAATATTTTATACTACTTCCGTCCTTGAATATTTGTCCAGTTTTAACTTTTTTCGGTCAACTATTTTCAATCTTTGACCTATAATTAAATAAAATATGTATTGTATTTTAATCAAAACTAAATAATATTTTGAAAATATTTGATATAATAAATCTAATAAAACTCTTTTTGTATCAATATCTAATATCATTTTTTTTAGTTTGAAGTCAAAGTTTACTAATTTTGACCCAAAAAAAGTTAAAAGTAGACAAATACTCAGGGGCGATGGGAGTATTTTAATTCTCAATTGTAGACGAGCAAATATCTCAATCAATTAATTTTGAATATTCTTCTTCTGTCAAAAAAAATTGAATATTCTTCTGATTAAGATACTTACGGTGAATACAATTGTTAGTTACGCGTTGATCATGCTCTTGATTGAACAGATTAAATTACTACCCATTTGTTCCATTATTCCGTGATATATATGAAGTTATATATGCTCGAGAGATATTCCGTACTTTATCTCAAACGTTCAATTTCCATCAAAAGTGATTCCTTAATTACTTTATTAATTGTCACATTTTTTCCCAAATCTTACAACATAAAAAAAATATTTTCTTAGATCCTTCGAATAATTAACCAAACCGTATCATATCCTATATATATATGTAAAAGAGAGTTTAGTTGTTGCAATGTTGACATGTGGCATGCCACATGTGCATCCACATGTGCACCCATTTATGAAGTGGATATATGCATTGCACCTATTTTAAATATATTTTAATACATTTGTATAAAAAATTTCATTCTTTAATAATTTTGAATATATATTTCACCATTGTAAAATAAACTTCGTATTTTGAGTACACACACATAAAATTATTTTTATACTATCTACAGCTTAAATTAGTTTATTACTTCTCGAAAAATGATTGTA